TCTTGCTTTGTCCATTTCACCTGATCCCTTTACAGACATTTCCCCTACTGCAACAACTTTTGCACCTTTACATGTTTAGGTTCTTCAACCTGCTTCACCAGTGGCTTCTTCTCCTCATGCTCCTCATTCCTATTCTCTTTTTCCTTCTCCTTCTCCTACCCTTTCCACTGTTCCCTTTACTGTACCCCTTGGGATATCCACTAGAGAATCTAACACACCTGCCTATCTTCAAGACTATGTCTACTACACAGCCATTCCCACTTTTTTGTGAATTCCAAGGTTACCTCTATTGAGATTCATATGCATGAACATCAGCTTTACCGTCAAGCAGCACCTCATCCTGCCTGACAGGATGCTATGGTTAAAGAATTTCATGCCTTGGAGGCAAATTATACTTGGGATATTGTTCCTTTGCCTCCAAGAAAGAGGGCCATACCATGCAAATGGGTATATAAAATCAAACAAAGGTCTGATAGTTCAATTGAGAGATACAAGGAAAGATTAATGATTAGAGGTGATTCTAAGAAAGAGGGCATACACTAGTTTGAAACTTTCAGTCCAGACAACTGTTAAGTGCCTTCTCACCTTAGCAGTCAAATATGGTTGGGCAGTCCACTAATTGGATGTCAACAATGCTTTCCTACATGGTGATCTCCATGAAGAGGTATACATGAAAATCCCTTTAGGCTTGACTGTTGCTCCTTCTTCCTATGATCCTCCTTTGACTTGCAAATTGAATAAATCCCTCTATGGTCTAAAGTAGGCTTCTAGCTAATGGTTTGCAAAGCTCTCCCAGTCTCTTCTTTCCATAGGTTACTCCTCTAGCAAGAATGACTCCTCTTTATTCACCAAAATCACTGCCTCCTCCATTGTTATTTTGGTAGTGTATGTGGATGATATCCTTTTAGCTGGTAATAATGGTCAAGAAATTGCAGATTTGAAAGCCTTTATAGATTAACAATTCAGAATCAAAGATCTTGGTTCTATTCATTATTTCCTTGGCCTTGAGTTCTCTTTTGTAGAAGGTGGTTATGTAGTACATCAACACAAGTACACAAATGATCTCCTATCTGAATTTCACTGTCAAGATGCCAAGCCTGTTATTACTCCTCTTGATCCCCAGAACAAGCTCCATATCGATTCTGGTGATCCTATTTCTGATCTTTCTATCTATAGAAGGTTGATTGTCAAGTTGAACTTCTTGCAACACACAAGGCCTGACATCTCTTTCTCTGTTCAACATTTTAGCCAGTTTCTGGTATCTTCTAAAGTTTCTCATATGTTGGCTCCACTACATGTTCTTAGATACATTGCTAATGACCTTGCTCAGGGTATTTTACTCAGCAGCTCTTCTGATTTCACCCTCAAAGCTTACTCTGATTCTGACTGGGCTACCTGACCTATCTCAAGGAGATCTTTTACTAGATATTATATTCTTCTTGGTGATTCTCCTATTTCTTAGAAGTCCAAGAAACAACCTACTGTTTCGTTAAGCTCTGCTGAAGTAGAATATAGAGCTTTGAGACAGGTGGTTGCTGAGATTTCCTGGCTGCTTAGGCTTCTTGCTGATATGGGCTTGTCTATTACTTCTCCTGTTTCTATTTTTGTGATAGTCAAGCTGCTGTACATATTACTAGAAATCCCGTTTTCCATGAGCGCACCAAACACATTGAAGTGAATTGTTATTATGTTAGGGATGTTCTTTCTTCTGGGTGATTTCTCTTCAGCATGTGCATACTTCTGCCCAACTAGCTGATATGCTTACCAAAGCCTTAACTGATGTTCCTCATCATAGAGTTTTATGCAAGCTTGGTGTTCAATCACCCTCAAGCTTGATGGGGGGGGGGGGGGGGGGGCACATTCCTTCCACGACACTTTGCAACATGAAATAACAAGCAAGAAACACAATGGGGTACCACCTCGTGTATAATGAAATCAAATCGAGGTACCGCCTCGTATAATCAAGAATAACGCCGCATGCGCATCAACATCATATCACAATAACAACATCGCACCACAAGTGCNGGGGGGGGGGGGGGGGAGGGTGATAGAGCCTTAATACCAAGTCCAGATCCTGGTTGAGCTTACTAAGTGTTGGGCCTTTCTTTATTGGGCCATCTTTCATTTTTACATTTCAGGGAACCGGCCCTTGTCCGGATAATTTTAATTTTAGCCACATTCATTTGTACATATAAATAGAGTTAGTTGACTCTATTTTTAATTAATGGATCAATTTCTATTTACTCTGTCGTCTCTCAGTTCTTCTCTCTCACCGACTTAGGCGATTAGGGTTTTCTACGCGATCTAATTCTCAAATGTTGATTTCATAGGTTAACAGTACGTGTGAACAATTCCTCTATGTTTTTAGATTTAAAGGTCAACGTATCTTTGAAAATATAGTTATTTCTTTCGTTTTTAAAAGTAGTTGTAAATAAACTATGTAAAAATCTTAAAATTGTCTATCTTATGAAGAAATACAATTATCCAATCATGAACGGAAAAATAAATGTCAGTAAAATTTAATATCTTTAGCCATTTTCATTAGATTAATTACGCGACTATTGCACTTCATGTTCCTAGAACATTTCTAGTTTCCCAACATATTGTTTATGAATGGAAATGAACCCACCCCCCAAAACACCCCACCTCCTCTCCTTCTGGATTTTCATTCGTTTTACATTCTTTCTACTTCACCTGAATTATCTGTTAAGAGAAAAGATACCAAAAGCAGCATAAAAACGGAGGTCCTCTTCTTGTATAGAAACATTGACCATGCCTACTAATCTAAAGCAAGATTATGACCAAAACCTTGGTAAGTTATTCAGTTAAATTTCATCATGATTAACGTAGTAAACTCCATACATTATATATATAAAGCTGGAGTATATATATGAACTCCCAACGGATATAGAATTATTTTAATTCATTTATTTATGTTGGGCTTCAGGTTTGAAGACGTTATTATGTCATGTAGAAGAAGAAATTGCACAACATGTTATTTTAACAAGATGTCAGATGCTCATTCCCATGTTTACCAGGTACTATATAATATCAAGCTTCGCTCTCTACTTTGTTTCCCTACTAAATAATAACAAAGAAAAAACATAACTCGATGGTTGTAGACAGCGGTGGTAAACGAGCGGGTCGGATCGAATATGGTCATATCGAAAATGTGTATTGTAAAAACGAATAAAAATATCGGCCCGGACTATATTTAATACGGATAGAAAATGACCAGTTAACCAACGGATAATAGGAATATCCATATTGTCTATGATTTCTTGAATATGATCAGTGATCACATTTGGCAGAATTTCTAGTTTCCCAAACTTGAAGAACACCAAATTTGTGTCTTTGCAAATTTAGAAGTCAAACTCATTGGTTATCCATTTTTAAGTGAATTATAATATGGATCTTATCGATATTTGGCCTATTTCTAAAAAGTTCTTATCGATTCAACGCCGGTATCTAATCTTTTTATTTATGTTCGCGAAAATACACATAACAACTTTTGTCTAGTTAAAGATTGAACATCAATACGAACCAAATAATAAAATTGTACTAAAATTGTTTAATATGAATGAAATTTCTTCGCCCTTAATCTAACTTCTGGATTTGAACCTTGAGAATGAGGAGACTCCAAATAGGAAACACTTCACTTTAATTGGCTATAGATTGCTCGACAACTAATTGGTTTTCGAATAACGAATTTTTTGTTAAAAGAAAGAAGAGAATTGTTGACTTCTATGGATGTTTTATACTGTACTCTATACTTCTTTACTTAGAGATTAATTATGGAGATCTCTATGACTAATTTCTTTTTGTTCAATAAGGTTTTCACTTTTTCTTAAGAAATTCCCAACAGGAGGATTTAATTTTTGCAAATCTCGTGTGTTACTCCAGATGTGCTCCTTACTCCTTAGACTCTCCGCAATTTGATTCTCTAATTTTCTTTATAATGTTTAATCGAACTTTTGACTTGAAATTTAATGTGAATATAAGCATGTCGAAGAAATACTTATTCTTATTATTTTTTGGGTACATTTATTATTTTATTTTGTTGTGAAAACATCGCTATAATCTCTCTGTATTTGTTACACTTTTGTTTTTTTGGTTCCTAAATTGGTGTCTAGTATATGTTTTGAGACTCGACTAATTCGATCGATTTTGTATAAAAACATTCCTAAACCCTATGGGCGAAGCACTTTTTACCAAGAGGACCTTCGTTCTCATAGAGTAAAAACTTACTCGCATCAGATGTTTACACCAAACCAATAAATATATGACACACGTCTTTTTAGGTATTGTTAAATTACTAAACTATAAATATATGACATACGTCTTTCTAGGTATTGTTAAATTACTAAACTATAATTACATAGTAATACATTTTCTCTTCTTAATTTCTGACTTTACCATGATATAAGATCTAATATAAACATTCGGTAAATTTTTACTATTTTCAGCTCGAACGTAAAATCTTTTGTTAGGATAGAAATATTAATTTGCAAGTTCGACTCTGCATAGAGTGTAACTTTAAAGAATATAACATCAATCACTGGAATATATCCGTTTGACCATAAATTTTGGCTCAAATATTTGAAATAATGTTTAAAAATTATTTTAAATAATATCAACTTGGCACATTGTTTCAATTTCAAAATAATGAATTGAAGTTTGAAGCATGAACTTTTGGATTAATTTGATAAACTTTTTGAAATTAAAAAACACTAGATTAATTTCATTCTTTTAAAATTATATTTCCTAAAAAATCAGTAGTAATAAATTGCTTAAAACTTTTCTCATATCAAAGTTTAAGAAATTAAATCTTGAAAAATTAAATCAGAAGTCGTCATTGATAGGAGTACTAATTTTCACAGTTTTACTTTGACTTCATTATTTGACCAAACAGAAAGCAAAACCAAAGAGAAGAAAACAGAGACGCTACGAAGTAGAACCCTTTATTCTTCTGCAAACAAGCTCAGTTCTTCTGTGTATGCTCTCTTTCGTCGTCTTCTTTTTTCTTTCTTTTTTTCCAATTTTCCTTCTTCCAACAACCCTAGAACCGAACCCGACCCGGAGGTTTTTTGAGCTGAGTGTGGGGGTTGCGGGTCGGGGAGTTTCTGTTTGTTATTGCGTGGGTTCCGACTTGGTTTTGAGGTTATAATGTGTTGTTATTGCTTTATACTTGAGTAATGCTATTTTTTTCAGGCTGCAATTGGGACAAATGGGAACGGAAGGTGAACAATTGACGGAGCAGGAAACTGCCATTTATGATCGTCAAATTAGGGTTTGGGGTGTTGATGCCCAGAGAAGGTGAATATTAATATGACGCGTCACGAACAGATAGCTGTTTAACATGTACATCCACTCGCTGAGTAAAAAAGAAAGAAATATACATCGACTTAAACACATAAATTTGTATACCAGTTTTTTATTTGGAAATAAAGAAAATAAGTAGTAGAACATCTCTATTTGGTCAATTTGGATTTCAATCTGTATTATGTGTTGTTTTGCTTCAGGCTCAGCAAATCTCATGTATTTGTCAGTGGACTGAAAGGAACTTGTGTTGAGGTAGCTTTTCTACTTTTGGACTCTTTTTGTTGTTAATATTATTTTTTTACTATGGCAGTGTTTTTCGCTGCAACATTCAACTGAACGTATTAACCACTAATTATAGTTTTGACTCTTTGAATTGGGACTATTACGTGATAATTCACCAAGCTTTATTCATAAATATTACACATCATGATTATTGGCCCCTTGATATGTTCCTATCGAACATCTTGAGTACCAGTTGCTAAAATTAATTTTGAGTAGCTTCTTGTACTTGTTCTATCTTATTTTTTTCTTTATGTTTTGTTTAATTATTTACCTTTTTTCCCAGTTCTGCAAGAATATTGTTTTAGCTGGAGTAGGTAGTTTGACGCTAAATGATGATCGCTTGGTAACAGAAGAGCTATTATTAGCTAATTTCTTAATTCCTCCCGATGAAAATGTATTCCGTGGGAAGTCCATTGCTGAGCTTTGCTGTGATTCATTGAAGGATTTCAACCCTATGGTTTCTGTTTCGGTAGAGAAAGGTTGTTTTTTTCTTCAAATGAACTATTAGTTTGCTTCTTTCCTCTAGCTCATGCAAAATTTTGTATTTCCATTGGTGTTCCTTGATCTGGACATTGCTTCTCAAGTTGAATGCAGGATGAAAGGAACATAGTAAGTTGGTGGGATTAAAACGGAAGCAAGAAATTAGAAATAATTAAGCACAGCATCACAGTTTCACTAGCATCATCTGTCAAAACGAATGCGGAGGACATTTTGACAAGTATACTCAGTTTCAAGGGAAAAACGTCTCACAAAAAAAGAAAAAAGAAGAAAGAATTGGTTTCTTCTTAGCTTTGTTTGACATTTTGCAGAATAAGCATTTGCATTTCTTCATTCGCTATTGTGGTGCATCAGGAAATTTTTTACGGAGTGTTGTAAACTTAGGCTCTAGAATATTTTGACTAACGACTATAGTCACCTGAATCTAGATCAGCTCAATGTCAACCAAAGAAAATTCTCACTATCTCCCAACTTTGCCTCAGCTGTCTGGTTGTTCATCTAATTGCTTACATTATTATAGTGATTTTTCTTTAAGGTGACCACTGAATGAGGCTGTAATGCACACGTGCATTTTAAGCTGTTAGATAACTCACTCAATAATTGCAAATCCTAAAATACAACGAGCTTGTTATTATGTTATCTTTTAGCTTGACTTCCTGATGTACTTGTTTTTGGCATTTCGTTATCTGTTAAGTAACTTTGTCTATTTAATGTCAAATTCAATTTTTCTGTTGTCAAAGCTGTTGGATTTAATTTCTCATGTGACTTTTATGCTATATTTTTCAGGCGCTCTCTCCAATTTTGACGCTGATTTCTTTCAGAAGTTTGATGTTGTTGTTGTTAGCTGTTGCTCCCTTTTGACGAAAGTAAAATTATCCTTCCATTATATGCTGTTTTAACTTCTCTCTAATAAAATTATCAGATTCCTTCCTAACTGGTACCTTTCAGGAAATACTGACAATAGTTGTTTTGATAATGTTTCCTCTTGCAGAAATCAGTAAATGCTAAGTGTCACAAGTCGCCAAAGCGTGTTGCATTTTACAGCGTAGAATGCCGAGACTCCTGTGGTGAGATATTTGTTGACTTGCAGAAGTACAGCTACTGTAAGGTTATAACCAACTCATTTCTTTGTTTATTCCTCTTTATTCTGCTGGATTATATCCTTTTCTCTCTTAAATGTAATCTTTCCTCCCTAAATGATTAAGTAGAGTCACTGATCTTTTTTCCCTTATTGTCCACTTGGTCTGTCTTTTCATATCAAAAGAAATAGGACCATAAGGCCTTCAGTAAATTCTTTCTGTTACTTTTGCAGAAAAAAAATGAAGAGACAATGGAATGCACATTGCAGTATCCAAGTTTTGAGGTATAACTTCATTGAAGCATAAACTAATAACATTTGTTTTATTTAGCCATAATAATATATCGCTAACTTGTTCCACTGTTGAACCTATATATCTTTCTATTTATGATAAATATTTTTAGGTTAAATAAATTTGAAGTCTTTAGTCAGCAAAAGCTTAGTCCAATTGAAAGTTGAAACTGAAATAAATTCTCATTGAGGTCAATCTTAGAAATAATTTCAACTCAAGGTTATAACATCTCTGTGTCTGGTAGAAAGTATATCATGACTATCAAAGATTGGAGACGCTATAGTAGTCCCAACAAACAAATGATATTTTATTTCGTATTACAAGCTTATAGCATGCATGTCTCACCTTCTGAACATAGAGCCTGATGTTTGTGTTTCCATTTCTTAATTCATTTTTTACCTTGTTTTAGTGCATTTAGAAGTACTTGATAGTCAGCTTAACTTTGTATGTGGTATTTGTGTAGCTTGTAAAAGTATATGGCAGCTTTTAATTGTAGACGATTTTTGCGTAAGTGATTGTCCATATTGTGCAAGTCTATGATTCAGACTAACAAGAACAGAAAGCACAGAGATGATCTCCTTACATACCACATCCTTCTGAATGTGTTGTCAATGCCATTGAGGAATCATCAATACTTGCTTCCTGTGGTTTCTTTTGCACCTTGTCTCCCGTCATTGCCTTTTCTATACTACCCATTCCCAACATGGATTACAGCTTTGGCAACTTGTTTATCACCAGTCTCAGCACGGATATAGTTCATATTTCCAGTTCTAGTTTAAATTCAGACACATTTGGTTGCATCTAGATTAGAAATTCTTTTGAGTATTAATCTTCCTAAAAATAAACTAGGACAGAAATGCATAAACTTTTTGAATAAATTAAGATGCAATTCTGAAATCATAATATCGTTACAAGGTACTGACAAATACCTAAATTATCTTACACGATAATATTTTCTACACACTGAAGAATCCTTTTTGAACCCGTTAACAACAAAATGTACACTAAAGAATCCCTTCATACCCCGTTAACAAAAATATCCAAGGAAAAGCTTGACTTCATCATTACTCGTTTTTTAAGTCCATAGGGTTTCCTATGTTGCAGAGTATTACCACAATTGCCCTAAGATTAATATTTACAGGAAGCCATTGCAGTCCCCTGGAGATCACTACCCAAGAGGATGTCAAAGCTATACTTTGCAATGAGAGGTAATTGTATTGCTCAGTTTCTTTTAATTTCTTATGCAGCTATTGTGATGGGTTGTCTATTACAGTGACTTCTTATCTGAGATTTGCTAAATGTGACTTGGTATTCAGCATTCCATAAAGAAGGAGAGTTATCTGAGTCAGAACTATGATGATTTGCTTAATTTCTGAAAACTTTTGCTTGTCCATAGATCAGAAATACATATAGGACCAATCATATACATCTGAGAAGTGCACCTATAGGAAATGTTAATCTCCAGCATGCAGTAATGTTAGCATAATCGTGTCCCCCCTCCCTT